GCTGTCCAGAACAGTTTGTTCTTCTGTGCTTTGCTCCACAGATGCTGCAGCAGCAAGAGTGCAAGCTCCTTTACCCCAGGAAGGAGGGACAGCGACCGGAGAACAAGGCTAAGAATCGCTACAAGAACATCCTTCCCTGTAAGGAGACACTGAATACTTGTCTGGGTTTTTTTCCATCACAGTTTCTGCAACCTTCTCCTGGCTTAGTTAACCCTGAAGAGCTTTTTCTGATTGTGGCTGAGGTGGAAAGAGGGGCACGCTGTCCTACTGGGGTGGTGCAGTTAGATCGTGGCGTTCTCCATCCCCTTTCTAACCTCGTCCTTCACTTTGGCGTGGAAACTAGTAAATTGCTCTCCTCTCTTTGTGCCGGGAGCCCAAATAGCTTCAGAGCTCCAGTGTAGTTCAAAAGCCATACGGATCCAGAACTGGAGTCTCTGAAGGAAATACTGTAAAATTTAGGTTAGTCTGCAGCACTGGTATCGCTGATGTCCATCCCAGTTACCAGCTTCACAACGTGGCTGTGAGCCAGGCAGTGTGGAGCAGGGCTAACTGTCATCAGGAGAGAATTTTATACCCTCCTTTGTGGTAGTTACCCACGGGCTTCCCAGTAAAAGCCTTGTGGGAGCCCCCATGCCTGCCCTGCAGCCCAGCCCACCCATACTCCTGTTTGTGGGACTCCCTCCTGTGCTCATTCTGGACTCTTTTCTCCTCCAGTTGACACCACACGGGTGGCACTCCGAGACGTAGATGAGAGCGTGCCGGGTTCGGACTACATCAATGCCAACTACATCAAGGTACTTGGGAAAGGGGCGACACTCTGTGGGGGCTGTCTTCAGCCCAGTGCTGTTTCTGGTGGGTAATGGTATAAGGCTTGAGGGAATGGCCTGTCAGGACCAGTATTTTTCACTCAATCCAGGTGAAACACTGGGTTTTTCTGCTGTATTCCAAGGGATCTTATCATTCTATAATCATCCTGTTTGCCCCTATCTAAGAGTTGATCTCGATCCCCTCCTTTGCTTACCTGTTCAGGAGGTCCTAAGGGACTGCCCCATGCTCTCTGCCGTTGAACGTTATCTCTGAGGTCAAATTATAATTGTCAACTGTAAGCCAAGAGCTGCTTGGAGCTGTATTTCCAGCAACGCTTCTCTGGCACTTAAGCACCAGCCTTTGGGAAACCATCGAGGTGGCTTCGTTCCAGCCATATCTAAAGCAGTTCCCAGTTCCTCACTCCAGCATCATTTGCTGTTGTTTTTTCCCCCCTTCCCTCTCTCCTTTGCTCCTCAGAGCATCCCTGAAGATGGAAGGAACCCGGAGCACTGCAAGGTCTATATAGCCACCCAGGGCTGCCTGCAGACAACAGTGAACGACTTCTGGGTCATGGTGTATCAAGAGAACAGTCACGTCATTGTCATGACAACCAAGGAGGTGGAGCGGGGCAGGGTGAGCACTTGGAGGGTGCTGCCCTCAAGCCTGAAAGTCATCTGCTGCCAGTACTAACAGCGATTTCTCCTCTGTCTTATAATGTTGCCCAAGTTCTTCACGAAAGAAACGTACCACTTTGCTCTGCACAGCTGCTCTCCCCAGCCCCATAAATACTAATGGCGTGCCCCTCATATGACTTGCTTCCAGCCTTTGGGCAACTGCAGATGGCAGAGAAAGAGAGTTTAAACAACAAAAAAAAAAGGTGTTGTGCTTGTTATAGCAACCTGAAAAGTGGTGGGAGGGTGGGGCTTTGCAAACTGAGTGAGGGAGCAAAAGTAATTATACAATCTGCACGCCACCTGTATGCATTTCACCAAAGGTAAGGGCCAAGGAACACAGGAAAATTCCATGCAGAGCCACCTACCAGAACAGCCTTCCCTAATAAAGAGAGGAGCTAATTGTGATTGGCACCAGCAGTTTTGCTTAGGAACGAGGGGGAGGCTGTTCTTGCAGCAGCCTCGTGCAGAGGTGAGATAAAGATAGCTCTGCTCAAGCCTTCTTTTGTATCAGCCAGGTCACTATGGCAAAGAGGGGAAGGGCTGGCAGAGGGTAGGGGTATGGGCAGACTCTGTAGCCCCTTGGGATGGAGATTTGACTCGGGCAACAACCAGCCCAACAGCTCAGGTGCTGAATTTCAAGACGATGCCTTTGGCCAAGGAGCTGGGACTGGCCGAGGAGGGAGATTCCCTTAAGGGATCACGTCCTTCATACAGGAACAACCCTGTCCAGTACCTCCCCAGTTCAGAGGAAATGCTCTGTGGGCATGAATCTCCTCTAAACCTCTACTCTGGGGCTCCACACCCTCTGACCGCAGCAGCCGTCCCCGAGCAAGGTGTTCAGGGCTTCAGCCTCCAGCCTCGACTAACGAGCAGCTGTGTCTGATGTTGCCACAGAACAAATGTTTCCGTTACTGGCCAGACAAGGGTTGCACCAAGGAGTATGGATGTGTCTGCGTGCGGAACGTGAGCGAGCGGGAGGCCCAGGGCTACTACCTTCGGGAGCTGGAGATCTTGCGGATCGACAGGGTGAGTCCTCTGCTGCTGTCCGCCCGCTGGGAACCTGCAGGGAGGAAGCTGCGGGTCTGTTGCTGGTTTTTATTGGGTTTGTTGGGTTTTTTTGACTTAGTGGTCCTGCTGCTTAAGGGCTGGGCTGCTTTGCCACAGCTTTGGTAAAAAGACAGGAAGGAGCAGCCTCCTAGCAGGACAGGTGATGGGTCTCTGCTCCCTGCAGGATGAGCGCCCCAGGCTGGTGAAGCACTATCAATATTTTAGCTGGCCAGACCACGGGGTGCCCAACGAGCCAGGAGGGGTTCTGAGCTTTCTGGACCAAGTGAATCGGGCACAGCGAAGCATTCCGGACACGGGGCCGATCATCGTGCACTGCAGGTACAAACTGGTGGAGAAGGGTAATAAAAATGCATCTCTTCTTTCTTTTGCAAGCCCTGCAGCTGGTCATCATGCGAGCTGACGGTGGGTAGTGATATGTGGGAAAACACAGCCCTGCTGCAGAGCCTCCTCACTGGTGATAGCACAGGGTAGAGCAGCTCTGATCTGGCGTTGGTAGCTCTGATGCAGCCTGCTGAATTCTGGTCTCATAAGGGTCAATGTTTGGCTGAGCTTCTCTTAGAGCAGCCGTGCCAAACCTGCCCAGGGCGAACCAGGCGTGGGAGTGTGGGAGCTGACTAACTCTGGGGAATGTTTTTTTCTTACAACGTTTTGTTTTGTTTTCTCTTTCCAGTGCTGGAATAGGACGCACGGGCACCATCATAGTGATAGATATTCTGGTGGATATTATTCACAGGCAAGGTATGTGTCTCCCTGCCTGTCTCGTGGCTTTCGCCGTTCGCCTTGCTCTGACCAGTTATGGAATAGCCCTGCTCTTGTGCAAGCAGGGGGTACCTGAGAACAAAGTTTTTCAACCTAACTCCCACTCCCCTAAGCCTCACCTTCTCGCTCTGGGGCAGGTTTGGACTGCGACATCGACATCCCCAAAACCATCCAGATGGTGCGCAGGCAGCGCTCGGGCATGGTGCAAACAGAGGCACAGTACAAGTTTGTTTACATGGCGGAAAAAAACTGAGCAGAAGAGGTTGGAAGAAGAACAGGTGAGTCCCTGGCTGGAAAAAACAAGGGCAGGATTTGACCAAACACCCCTCCCACCTTCTCCCTGGAACTCAAATGCTGCCCTGAACACGTAGAAATAAACCCACACCTGCTGTTCCCCTGCTTGTAAGGCTTCCTTCTGCATCTGCTTTGCGTGGGATTTTATTCTTTGCTTTCTCTTTCAGAGGAGTAAAAGGAAAGAGCGAGACTACTTGAATATCGGCTACTCCCCTATGGAAAAAGGCAGAGGCAAAGGGCAGCCCCCCTCGCCACGGACCCCGTCTGTGTAAGTTCAGTGTCTCCCTGCCAGGGCTGGACCATCAGAGAGAACAGGTTGAGCAGAGACCCCTGGTATTTATTGGCTCCATTCCCAAGTTATATCTGAACCCAGGAGGGATGAACCCAACCAGAGGGAGACAAAAAGTGTTGAGAACAGTGGGTAACCCGATGTCATCCTCCCTACAAGGCTGGGGAGGGAAAAAGGGAGCTTGGCTGCACCATTACCTTCTTCCCACCAGGGGAAAAGATCCGGAGCCGCCAGGCTGTTAATAACAAGGCTTCGTTTCTTGACAGGGTTGACGATGAGTCAGCTTCCGTCTACGAGAACCTTAACATCAAAAGCCCAAAGGTTTCGGGGATGAGCAATACAGGGCGATAAAAGGAGCTGGAGGTGAGCTGTGTGGAGGCTGTACGGGTAGGAATCCTTCCCTCGATGACCCGCCAGTGGCTGTTTGCATCGCGTTTGATCCAGCTCAGCCCGCGCAGGGCTCCGGGGCTCTGCCTTCGAGCAAACTTGTCGGAGCCTAAAGATGTGGCTGTGGCTGAAGGGGAAGGAGGAGGGCAACGGGGTAATGAGGTCTCGATGGGGAAACACATTTATAATGTCACCAGTGAGGGGGGAGATGTGCTTTCTGGGCTGTTCCGTTGCGATGCTGTCGGGCTGGGAGAACAAGGCTGCGCCGTGTGTGCAAGTGAGTAGGAGAGACTTTGCACGCCGCCAGTGTCTCAGCTCTGCAACCTTCTCCCCGCGCTTTTCTCCCGGTTACAAACCATGCCACCCCTCCTCCTTCTTGTTCTGGTACGCAGGATTTGCAGTGTTTACATCCACCCTCTCCAAGTTCTGCAACTGCGGACAATTTTGGTTTTTTGCCTGTCTTGCCTTCCCCAAGCACTGTGGATTCAGCGAGGAAGCCAGAAGCTGGCTGGAAGAAGCAAGCAGAGTCTGCGCCTCAGAACATGCCCTGACCTAACTTATTCCTGAGAAGGATCTTCTCCTGTTCTCCCCTGTATCAGTAGGTTGATATTTATGTGGAAGTGCCTCTGGACATTCATTTAGGGCATCCAGGCTCAGTTTTTGGTGTTTGTTTTTTTTTTTCCTGTTTGGTTTTGTTTGTTTGGGGTTTGTTGTTGGTTTGTTGGGGTTTTTTTTTTGTAATTTAAGAGTCTTATTTTTTACACACAAATTGTTAAAATGAATGGAAGTGACTATTTGCTTAGGAGCTTTCCCAGGTTTGCCCACATAGGGCGTTAGTAAAATGTTAGTAAGCTTTAATGTTTTCATTAGGTCAACCATTTCTAAGCTAGAAGTGTTCTTAGTCGAAATGCTGGAGTAACTTTGCTGCCTGTAAGGGTAAGAAATAGAGAGCGCTGCCTGGACCCAGGTATTTGCAGCTCTTGATTCTTCTTCCCACGCCTCCTTTTGCCCCTACCAGTTTCAGATTTCTATGCAACCCTGCCAAAGCCCACCGAGCAGCCCCTGCTGCTGTAGTAGGGCAGATGTGCTTGTGCCTGAGAGCCTGCTCGCTGCACAGCCCGCGGGCTTCCCCGCAGGATTGAGAGACAGAGGTGAGCATCTCCACCTTGGCGTGGACCTGGACGCTGAGCCAAGTGAAATCCCACCTTAGCCGATGGGTGCTGAAGAGCAGGAAGGCAGCTTTGACTGTGCTCGGTGCTTTTAGCCACCTCTGGCAAGTGACAGATACTCACCCGAGCTGAACTTCTCTGAGCTTGGTGCAGCTCTGCAGTTCCCTTGCCGCACGACCTCCTTTTCTTTTACCCCCTGCGACGAAATGGCGAAGCAAGCCTTGTGTCTGCTGAGTTCGGGGTGTTGTAGGACTGTTTGTGGCTTGACCCGTGCAGCAAGGATGAGCGTGTCACTGAGGGGAGCGCTCCAGCCCTCCTGATAAGTCGTGACTTGTGCCTGTCAGTGCTTCCTGCGGGTAGCCCTGCCAAAGAGCCCCTCTCTGCAGGATTCATCCGTGTCTAAAGCTTTGTTCTGTGGGCAGTCTTGGGTCTGAGTGCCAGTGTCTGAACCTCCAGGACGTGCCGTGGGGCTGCTGTCGAAGTCCCCTGAGGTCCCTAGGACTGGTGGGTGGCCTTTTGCTACAGGGTTGGGGTTTTTAGTGCCTGGAGTGCCAGCAGAAGGGGTTGAACAAAAGCACAATGACACACCTTGGCTGTATTTCCTGGCTGGTCTTCCTTGTCCCTTGTCACAGGGAGAGGAGAACTGTTTATTTTTATTGCACTTTTAATAAATGTTGAATATTGAATATTTCTTTTTGTTTCTTTCTCCTTTTCAAGCGGTTTGCTTTCTGGGAAAGTGACAGTTGGTGTGGGCAATGGGACACCCTGAATGTCTCCCATCACCAAATGTTCAGGGCCCTGTTTTCGCTTGCTTTGAATTTTCCTTTTGAGTAGGCACGAGCGAGAGGTTCAGCTGCGTGTTAGCTAAACCTTCAGCCTTAATTTCCGAGTACGTGGTGAGAACAGGGAAATGCAAAGTGACAGCTCCCACGAGGATGCCGTGGCAGACTGCTAGGGACAGTTGGAACTGTAAGAACATCTCTGTGGCTCGTTTGCTACCGTAACAGTAGCTTTTATGAGGCTGAAGATTTTATTCCCTTTCCCTTGCCCTTGGGTCTCATCGGTGGGAGCTGAACAGTAACGAAGATGTAATGACAAAGCACTTCATCTCTACTGGTGTTTGTTTGCTGGGCTTGGTCCCAAGTGCGCCTTGGGTAAAATGAAAGTGCCTTTTCTGCCTTACGTCTCAGTGAGTCGCTTTTTCCAAGAACACGCTTAAATTGGTGCTGTGAAAATAGCCTTTCAGGGGCAAGCACAGGATGATAGCAGCGAGAATTCCTGTCAAGCCCCATGTCTTTTAGCAGAGGCTGTTACAATGCCTGGAGTAATTTCTGCACGGATAGTACCAGCCTGCGACTGAGCAACAGAGGTGCTGCAGGTACAGCACACGCAGCAGCTTTCCACGGATGTCGAGCTTCAGCCTATTTCAAATTAGATTTTTTTTTTTTTTTTCTGGAAAGGGAGACTAGAAACCTCTTTCGTCCTTGCTGGGAAGAAGCCAAAGAGGAGCAGGTTTTGAAGCTTTTCATTTTTCAGGTCAAATCAGGTAAACGCAGGGAAGTCACACCTGGGATGGCATTGCCTAGACAGTAGTAAGTATGAATTGACAGGATAAAACCGTGCGTGTGTTCAGGGTTGGGAACAGCTGGGACAGCTGATGCACGGGCCAGAGTACGGACACAGCACCTGCTGTGTGGCTACCACAACCTGGGAATGCAGCTGCGCTCAGGATTGCTGCATGAGCACCTCCAGCTGCAAGTAAGAAGGGAGATGTGGAGTAATTGCTACAAATTGACACCTTGCATTGTATAAAACATAATTTAATACATACACGTATGGTACTTGCATACAGTACTGTCGTACATCCATGTGTTTGAATAGAAAACATTTAATTGTAAGCCACCTCCATCATGAAGGCTTTCGCTAATCACTGTCAGAAGATCACTGCATTAAACAAAAATAGTGTGTAAGCAACTGACCTGTGTCTTAATACTGACACATTTTAAGATTAGGAGGGTAGAGCTGTCAAAAGATGGAATTTCTCTCGTTTTGACAACAGTTCGCCTGCAAGAAGTATGAGAGAAATTCGCTGGTGAAGTCACTTGAGGGGCTGCTGTGTCGGTGTGCCTAACAGAACTCACCCCCTGTCTTCCGAATCGCTCTCCTGCTGCAGATGAGTGATTTTTTTTAAGCATCTTCTTGGGCAAAACGAGTAGAAGGGCTAGTCTGCTGTGCTCAAAAGCTCGTCGGTGGGCCTGGTAACGCAGCTCGGGTGGTGGGGTTGCAGTGTTGTGTCAGCAGGAGGCAGCATTTACACCTCCAGCTGCGAAGAATGGAAATGGTTCCAGCATCTGGCATAAGGATAATTTTCATCTGCTCGTACGACTTTGACATGTCTTTACCCTCCCAGTCCCAGCTCCTCTTAAGAATAATCATGTAGATCCTTGAGTTTGCAAAAAAATAGCCCTTTATTCCCTGAGGGAGGTAGAGGAACTGCACCCCCTGTCAGCTGGTATCCAGCCAAGCCAGCACACATGTGCCACGGGAGGCAAATGGTCCTAGAAACATCTCTGCTGCTTTCAGAGCTCTGGTTTCCATGGAGAGTTTGGCAGCAGGATGCTGAAGCAGCTCCTTGGAGCATTCCTGGGCTGGAGACAGCGCAACAGGCAAGTATTTCAGCAGAGCTACCGGAGATGGATGCGCGTGTTCCAGCGCAGGCAGAAGGAGGGTGTGGGGGGAGCTGAGTGATGATGAGGGTCTGCCAGCAAACCAAGGGATGCCGTCGGGGCGGCAGGTCTTGTCCCTGCCTCCCTGACATGCCACAGGGAGCGGGGAGCCAGCAGCCTCGCCGCGGAT